GAGGATCAAGCGGAATCTGAAATGCTGAATTTGAAATATGAAAATTTACTAATTCTGACTTGTAAATATCTATGGTATAGAAAAGAAAGAAAACTATATAAGTTTGTCGCATTCCTGAAAGAAGTAAGATAAACTTTCTTAATTAATTATTATTGATTATTGTTTATGACAAGAAATTGTTTTTCTAAGATATTGGATAAATTAAATGTCTAATTATTATTCCTGAGCAGATCAATACAGTGATAGCTAGAAAACTTTAGAATATGAAGACGAGATTAAAGCAATTCTTAAGTGCACTTGATGTTGTTATAAAGCAAATAGCTTTACTTGTAAGTTTTTAAATTACGTATTAATTGTGAAATGGATCTGTTAACAATGCACATTTACTGCGCCTCAAGTTAATTGGACTATTTTAAGTCATAACTTGAGATTAAAGGCGACATCCTATTCCAGAGTTTTCTGGTTATCACTGTTACAAGGTGGTTTTCGTTAAATGCCATTCTGAACTTCTGTCGTCTTCAGAAAATATTTAATTTATGAAGAATTTTGATTAATATTTGTTGTTAAAAATCAATTAAGGTTACTTGAAAAGTATCATGAAAAAATATTTGTTTTTGTTTTTAGATTTTTAAAAGATCAAAGAAGTATATTTCTGTTTAATTGTGAACCACATCCAACGAGGTTATAGTATACAGAGTGATGATGTTCGCTAATCCTTTACTAATTGTACAGGCCATGTACTTCACTTCCAAAGGTCAATCAGTATATTACAGTACTCGGGGTGATTTCTGAAAATATTTAAATGGAGAATTTGTTTTCCATGTAACTATTAAAATCCACTACTCCTTTATCGTGTGCAGGATTCCATTTTCACAGGAAAACAAACTATTACAGTCTTTTACAGAGCAATATTTCATCGTTAATAAACTGTTCTGATAAAACTAAGTACAATACAAGATACAAAACCTCCCCATACACTTTTTGATATTTGTACTGTATGAAAAGACCATAATCTCTTAACATCCTTTATCAGAAAACTATCCCAAGTGTACACTCAGGCCAATACACATCAAGAGGTAGCTAAGATCCAGCCCCCCTGACCACATCTTATAGAGTAATTATCACTCCAGGTTCCTGGTCATGTGGTATGGTATGGTGTGGGAAAGATATGAATGTTTAATATATATGCACTGCAGATTTTAGACTAAGCTAGGGCTGAAGATAGTTTTTGCCAACGTACGGAAAATACTTGAATGAAGCAGAACAGACCAGAAAATATAGAAATGTAACAGAACACAACTGAAAATTATGGAACGGAACAGAACAGGCCGGAAAATAATGGAACGGAACAGAACAGACCGGAAAACATGGAACGTAACAGAACAGACCGGAAAATATTGGAACGTAACAGAACAGACCGGAAAATATAGGAACGTAACAGAACAAACCGGAAAATATTGGAACGTAACAGAACAGACCGGAAAATAATGAAACGAAACAGAACAGACCTGAAAATATTGGAACGTAACAGAACAGACCGGAAAATACTGGAATGTTAATATTTTTGGCAGGTATAAAAGTTTTGCATAATGTAATAAAAGCAAACTTATCGAGCACACAAGTTTAAAATACTTTAGAATGTTGTAGAACCTTTCAGAAATCTAATAACCTTGTATGTTTAAAAATCTAATAACCTTGTATGTTTAAACCCAGGCCTAACACTTAAGGGGGGGGGGTTTGATAAAGATTTAAGCAAGTCAAGGATCATCATTGGGTTCACACCTGTTTAAGAAAGGCAGGGCCAGATAGGGAATATTCTATATTCTCCATACCGGGCCTGGTCCTACTCCCGTATTCTATATTCTCCGTACCGGGCCTGTTCCTACTCCCGTATTCTATATTCTCCGTACCGGGCCCGTTCCTACTCCCGTATTCTATATTCTCCGTACCGGGCCCGTTCCTACTCCCGTATTTTATATTCTCTTTACCAGGCCCGGTCCCACTCCCGTATTCTATATTCTCTGTTATACTGGCCCCCGTCCTACTCCCGTATTCTATATTCTCCGTACCGGGCCCGGTCCTACTCCTGTATTCTATATTCTCCGTACCAGGCCCGGTCCTACTCCCGTATTCTATATCCTTTGTACTGGCCCCCGTCCTACTCCCGTATTCTATATTCTCCCTACCGGGCCCGGTCCTACTCCTGTATTCTATATTCTCCGTACCGGGCCCGGTCGTACTCCCATATTCTATATTCTCTGTACTGGCCCCCGTCCTACTCCCGTATTCTATATTCTCCCTACCGGGCCCGGTCCTACTCTTGTATTCTATATTCTCCGTACCGGGCACGATCCTACAGTCTCGTATACTGTTCTAGAGGATTGGCTTAATTTCCATATTTAACTCATCATAAGTACCACATCACTCTAAAAGTTGTATGATCCGAGCCGTTACAATATGTATTGTATATGCATACAGAAGTACCGTCCAGTCTGTAATACCCAGTATGACCCAGCAAGATTTATGCAACCCATGTAGTCTGGCAAAATCACAGAAAGGTACTTAATGTAAAAAGTAATTTTCTACAGCAAACCTCCAACTCCCATTCAGCTAGCAGGCTTTATAGCTACAATGATAACCAGAAAACTGTGACATAGGAAGACGACATTAAAGCAATACATAAGTGCATTTGTTGTTGTTACGAAGCAACTACATTTTCTAGAAAAATCTCACTTGTTCCGTGAAATGAGTCTATTTACACTGCACAACTGCTGTGTCTTTTGCGATTAATGAGGTATTTAAAGGGATAACTGGGAGTCCAAAAGTAGACGCCCTTATCCAGAGTTTTTTGGTTCTCACTGTAGTTAGATGGAGATTCGGTTAAAATAATAAAATGTTACCATAAATTGTAGCAGTTAGGAATCCATCTTTATCTTCTTCTTTATTAGTTCTGAATAAAAAGAAATAAAAATTATGGGAATAATTTGAATTGAACATTCAATCAACAATTTGAAAACAAAAAATTAGTATTTTAAAATTTTTTAAAAGGGGGAATGAGTTTTTGTCACAAACACAAATTTTCTTATCCCTATTTCCTTGCAACCTGATGGTGTAAACCTATGATATTACAAACTGAGAATATTTGTTATAACAAAATTGATAGTTTGAAATATTAAAGATTTACACCATTTGGTAGCAAAGGTATAGGGATTGAAAAAATTGAGTTTTTCCCAAAAACTCAATTCCTTTTTTCTGAAAATTTTGTCAATTTTTTCTCATTAAAATTCCTTCTTTAAATTGTACTTTTGTTTAAATTAAAAATATGAAAAATATAATTCAGCCTTACACAAAAAATCCGTTTCCCGAGTCACCTTGACATGTATCAATGCCTCCTATATTAAAAAAACTAAAAATGCTTTAATTTTTGAAGAATTTTACAGTGGTTGTAAGCATTCAATTGACCCTTTCCAGGTTTTAAAAAGTTTTAATTCTTATAATTCCTTTATGCTGTTCTGCAGTAGAACAATTAATTTTGCAGAGAAACCTCAATTGAAAACAATCATTTGTAAAATTATAAACATTGATATCTTAAATCATATTGTTCATACTTGATCAGGCAAAACTTTAAATCATGTTAAAGTTGAAATAGAAAACTACTTTTAATTTTAAATTTATGATAAATATTTGAATAGTTAAATATAAAAATAATAAGAACATTGGTGTACGAATTTAAGGAATTAAGCTGAACTCCATATTGCCGCAGCCGGTTCAAATTTGAACCACCGATTCAAAGTTAAAGATTAAAGAAGGATTTGAATCAGTGATTTAAATTTAAACAAGCGGCAAGCAGTTCAAATATACATTTAACTCGGTCACAGAGCCCAAAAAAATTTCAGTATTTGGATAAGGATTAATTTTGTTTGCAGAAATTTTTTGAAAATATCTAATATTTTTTACCGAATATTTGAATCCAGCGCAAAATTCCAGGTCTGGCTCAAACTTTGCATGCTTTGCTAAATAATTATTTAATTAATTTGAATAAAATTTTAAAAACAAACCTTTACTATAACTTTTAATTTTTCTTCTTTATTAGATTAATTTTCTATTGGGGATTCATTTTTTGTATTTGATTTTATTTAATCCACAATCCACATAATAGAGAAAAATGTTCTTATTAAAACTTGAGCCCGTCCTTTGTGTCAAGTCAACAATATATTTAATTTGTCTGATTTATTCGTTTTTGTTTGTGAAATTTTTAAAAAATTAGGAAGTGCACCGTGAAGCGTCTTAATCAACTTATGGTTGGATATTGACATTATTTGCCAACACCATTTTTGAATTCAAATCAGTTTAACCTCGTAAAAGATTCACTGAAAAAAATAAATTGAGAACACAGCAATGCACAACTTAAGAAATTGGGGGAATTTAAGAATGGTCTTACATTGTAATTTCAAGCACTCCTCTTTAGATAGAACTTGAATATTAGCCTGCTGCAGTAGCTAAAAAAAATTAAAGTAATTACTGTACGGTACTTGACTGTACTGCACTGCACTATACTGTACTGCACTGTACTGTACTTCACTGTACTGTACTACACTGTATTGTACTGCACTGTACTGCACTGTACTGAACTGTACTGTACTATACTGCACTGTACTGTACTGCACTTTGCTGTACTGCACTTTACTGTATTGCACTGTACTATACTGTTATTTATGTCATCCATGTGGCTGGAAATTTAAGAATGTTCTTACATCTGTTCGAACTTTTTTTTCTTTGTTACAGTAACCCCAATTTGCGTTACTAGTAACATTCGCCTGAAATAAAATAAAATAAAATTATTATTTTTGAAAATTGAAAATTATTTCTCACCTTTGTTTCGCACCAACCATACTTTCCTGAAAATATTGATTTAAAGGGACTGTATGCGTAATTTCAAGTGACCCTCCGTGCAAAATTTTATTAAACGGTTCATAACTTTACCCTTAAAAGCTTTGTTTGATCAAGTATTAATTTATAGATATCCATGTTTTCATTTTAAATCTTATTATTCTCTAATGTGGTCACTCTACAAAAGTGACTTAAGGATTTTTACTGCAGAATTCAGCACTTTTAAACCTAGAGAGAAACGACAGTATCGTACCGTCGCTAATCAGGCATAGTTAGTTTCGATTGAGGGTCACTTCAAATTATGCTTACAGTCCTTTTAAGCTTTTTGTTTCACTTGATCAAATTTTTAGTGTCCTAATAAACATGGGAATTGAGAGATGAGTTTGAGATTGTCTTTTTTGATGATTTTGGATTTATTATATTGTTTGTTTCCAAATACTACGAAACCTGTCATATTTTAAGATAAATATTTTCACGTCTAATTCTTAATAACCCGTGTACATGGGTCATTCCAAAACAAAAAGGACAGGCTCCAGAGGTGATCATCAATATTTCATTTACAACATTTTTTGGGGACCTCCGGGGTCGAGGTTAAAGAGCAGTATGAACAAATTGAAAAGGAATTGAGTCTTTGCCACAAACTCTAATTTTCCAATCCCTATATCTTTGGAACCCAATGTCTTAGACCCAATATATTTCAAACTAAGTATACTGATTACTGTTAGATCAAATGATCTAAGTTTGAAATATCAAAGGTTTACTCCATCAGGTTCCAAAGATATATGGATTTAAAATTTTTTGTTTGTGACAAAAACTCAATTTCTTTGAGAACAATTATTTTTTTTGAAAATCTTTTAACTTTTTTGTTGTTTTAAAGAAACGTCAAAATTATAACTATCTTTAAATGAAAATACTTAAACAAAATTTTATTAATTTTTTTAGGGGTAAAAAAAGACAAAAAAATATCAAATTTGAAAAAAACAAACATAGTAGCTATATTTTAAAAGTTTTTTTCGCTGTTTTAAGTCACTCTTACAAGTTTAATAGCGGCTTCAAACATTCAAAAAACTCTAAATGTCAAAAAGTTTATGTTTCGAGCCAGCATGCCAGCACATCCATATTATATTTCTTTCGTATGTTATTTTCCCTTAGAAGTTCATTTTGAGGTAAAAATGCTTTGTAACCATTCTGGAAGGCTTAACACTCTTGGTTGCAAAATACATGTGAAACAGTTCTCACTATTGAACAGGGTAGGTGGGGGAATACAATAGAAATACTTGTAAAGCAGCAAACATGTGATATGAATAAAAATTCATTCAACAGCCGTTTAAAGTGTTTAAAAGCAGTTTTGAAATAAAAAATTTATTTCTAAGGCCTGAAGCCACAAAAAAAAATTGCAGGATTTTCAAAAAATTTCTTTTTAAATTTTACTGTTCTTTAACTCTGATCCCGAAGGTCCCCGAAACATGTACGTAAAATTAACATTATGCTGTATACAAAATTTTAGCCAAACAGGGGATTGTCACTTCCATAATTTTCAAAAAAATTGTCCCTTTTGGTTTGGAATGACCCATATGTAAAAAAAATGTTTTCGTTTTTATTGGTCATGCCGTAGTTATGATAAAATGAGGGTTCATTTTTACTGTTTCCTCGCAATTCTAATCTGGAAATATATATCACGTGATTTACAAGTAAATTCACACTGTACACTAGTGGCCTTTGGGGAGAATTCTCCGTCGTCGATGATTGGACAAAAGCTTTAGAGGGTTTTATTGTGAATTGGACATGCCAATCTGAAATGGAAAGTTAATCGAAGCTAGGTCAACGGTACTTTAAAACAAAGTGTTAAGTTAATTTGTATTATATTAATTACCTTTTATGTTTTTGTTAATAGAAACCAAAAATAGATAAACCTTGATTATTATTCCAGCAAGTCTCGTTTGTTCCATTGTAGTACAGTACAACCTCAACTAAAGCCCTGTACATATACATTGTAGTACAGTACAACCTCAACTAAAGCCCTGTACATATACATTGTAGTACAGTACAACTAGAGCTCTGTACTCAGGGTCCTATACATATATACAGGGTGTCCCACGAAGCATGACAGTTGGTAAATAGTTTTGAATGTCGTCTTCCATACTCTGTCTTAGATGTTAAACTGTTTGCAGTTTCTTTCGCTAAAAAAATCTTTTGCTCAAATACATTTTACTTTTAAATTAATTTTACTATAATATGACTCCTATATAATATTTTTATTATTGTCTTTGGTATTAAACAACTTAACAAATTATGGAAGAAGACATTCTAAACTATTTACCAACTGTTATGTTTCGTGGAACACCCTTTACAACAGGACTTCATCAGAGCCTTGTTCATATATATTGTAGTACAGGACAACTTCAACTATAAGCGTTGTACATATGTACATTTCAGTAAACTACAACTAGAGCCCTGTACATACACATTATACATTGCAGTGCATCACAAGTTCAATTGGAGTCCTGTACATATTCATTATAGTACATTACAACTTAAATTAGAGCCCTGTTTATATACATACATTGTAGTGCAGTCAGAGGCGTATTCAGGGTGGGGGCTATGGGGGCTAAGCCCCCCCATGACCAGTGAAATCTATGGATTTCAGCGGGTTTTCAGGCCCCAACGGGTGCTGAGCCCCCCCTGGAAAGAAAAAAATTTAAGCCCCTCTGAGTCCGAAATTTGAAAGAGTATCGTTAAACGAAACTCATGAGTTTCCTTTTTGGGGTATTAACATTTTGTAGATTTTGATTTAAGAGTTTCGAAAAAATGGAGAATATGAAGAAACTAAATAAAAAAAAAATATTTCATAACAAAAATATTGATATCCACAAAACTGCCTAATCCCATTCGTAAAACCCGGGTTTTAAAACTGGTTTTCATAACGATACCCTGTCTTAAGTTTTGGGCTCTGGACAAATTCCTTAATACGCCCCTGAGCGAAGTACATACCCCTGTTATCTCTGTAGGCCCTCGGGTCTACCTTGAATTCCTTGAATCATGTTAATGTATACATTTGGTACAGTACAACCTCGATATATAATTGTAGTTACACAATACACATATATTGTAATTTAGTTCTTCATAACCAAGTAGTTAAAATTGTAATACAGCATTCCTCTTTAAATATAAAATGCAGTACAGTAAATTTGTACATTTGTTGGGGTACTTAATACCTCTGTACACTACATATTCATCGTACAGTACATCCCCTGTACGTATACATCACTGTGCACTGTGTGCAGTACAAGTTTGAAAAGAAGCTTAGACTCAATTGTAAAACGTTCTCTAACAGTACAATAATATTCAAATCTGTGTTCCCTAGATGGAGTTCTCAATCCTCTTATAAACTACTACTCCCACCTGACTGTATCCTCCTCCTAGACGGAGTACCCTATCCACTAATTAAACTACTACTCCCACCATACTGTATTCTCCTCCTAGACGGAGTACCCTATCCACTAATTATACTATTCCCACCTTACTGTATCCTCCTCCTAGACAAAAACCTCTATCCACTAATTAAACTAATCCCACCATACTGTATTCTCCTCCTAGACGAAATCCCCTATCCACTAATTAAACTACTCCCACCTGACTGTCTCCCAGATGGAGTTCTCTATCCACTTATTTATAAGCTACCCCCACCTGACTGTTTCCTCCTCCCAGATGGAGTCCCCTATCTGCTGGTTAAACTCCTGGCAGGCCGGGTCCTTCACTGCTGGACTTTCATCAAACTTACACGGTGTCATACACTAGAGCAAATATAAAATAAATATGGAAAGAAACTGAATTTTTGGCACAAACTCAAATCTCTATATCCTTGCAGCCTAACGGTGTAATCTTTGTTTTTTTTGCGACGTTTCTTCTAAATGGAATGATATTATCACCTTGTCAAATATCTCCGGTCCTGACTAATTGGTCAATATTATCACCTTTTCAAATATCTCCAGTCCTGACTTATCGGTCAATATTATCACCTTGTCAAATTTCTCCGGTCCTGACTTATTGGTCAATATTATCACCTTGTCAAATTTCTCCGGTCCTGACTTATTGGTCAATATTATCACCTTGTCAAATATCTCCGGGGTCCTGACTAATTGGTCAATATTATCACCTTTTCAAATATCTCCAGTCCTGACTTATTGGTCAATATTATCACCTTGTCAAATTTCTCCAGTCCTGACTTATTCGTCAATATTATCACCTTTTCAAATTTCTCCGCTCCAGACTTATCGGTCAATATTATCACCTTGTCAAATATCTCCGGTCCTGACTTATTGGTCAATATTATCACCTTGTCAAATTTCTCCGGTCCTTACTTATTCGTCAATATTATCACCTTTTCAAATTTCTCCGCTCCAGACTTATCGGTCAATATTATGACCTTGACAAATCTCTCTGGCCCTGACTTATTGGTTTAATAATGTCTTTTCTAATATCTCCGGTCCTGACTTATCGGTCATCAATATTATCACCTTTTCAAATTTCTCTGGTCCTGACTTATCGGTCAGCCTGGCATCCCTGGCTGTCCCCATCCCTATAATCCATCCCATACTGCTCTGAAACACGTATTATTCATATCTTTATTTTTTATAAACTATTTCAATGGACCGGTTTTATTAAATGTTAGTCTTATTAAAGGTACTGTCAACTTAATTTCAAGTAACCCTTAGTTTGAATCAATATATGCTAGATTCAAATCAGTACCCCTTAGTTCTGTATTGAATTAGCAATGTAGAAGATATCGTTGTTTTCAATCTTAAACGTCAATATTTCTTTCTCGTCTTTTTTCATCTGCAATTAAAAATAATCCATTTTAAAGAGAAAAACATGGATAACTTCATCATTGTTTCTCCAGACAAAGGTTTATAAAAGGGAACCACTACAGTCTCTTTGATTTTATTGTGTTTTAAAACTTGCCTTACATTACCAGTGTCAGGGGTAGGTAGACAGATTGGCATTATAGCTTTACGCCCAGTTGTGAATTGGACCTAAAATAATCATTCCCAGCAAACATAACTTGAGCTTAAGTAAAATTACAGCTTTATGTCCGATAGTGAACTTTATCGAAAATAATCATTCCCAGCAAACAAAACTGGAGCTTAAGTCAAATTACAGCTGTATGTCCGATAGTGAACTTTGTCTAAAATAATCATTCCCAGCAAACAAAACTTGAGCTTATGTCAAATTGCAGCTGTATGTTCGATAGTGAACTTTGTCTGAAATAATCATTCCCAGCAAACAAAACTCCAGTTTAAGTCTAAATATTTTTGACTTTAGCTCTCGAAAGTCGTGTTTAAGTCGAGTTTGAAAGTTGACTACTTGATCTAGTTCTAGAATGCTTGGTCAAATTTTTTTGGTCAACACCAACATTTTTTGTGATATCCGACTTACAAATATTAGGGATATCTCGCAGCAAATGAGAATTTGTATCCCTTTTAGAAGAATTGGAATCCCTCTAATGATAAATGGTATCCATCCACCCAGAAATGGTATCCCTCCAACAAGAAATGGTATTCAACCAATAAGAAATGATATCTCTCCAATAAAAAATGGTATTCCATATAAGAAATGGTATCCCTTCAATAAGAAATAAAATCTCTGCAATAAGAAGTAATATTCCTTTCATAAGGATATGAAATCTCTCCAATAAAAATTGTATCCCTCCATGCAATAAGAAATGACATCTCTCCAATAAGAAATGGTATTCCTGTATTAAAAATAGTATCCCTCCAATAAGGAATGAAATCTTTCCAATTAGAACTAGTATTCCTTCCATAAGGTTATGGTATCCCTAAAATAAGAAATGGTATCCCTCCAATAAGAAATGATATTCCTACAATAAGAAATTATATTCCTCCAATAAGAAATGATATCCCACCAATAGGAAATGATATTCCTCCAATAAGAAATGATAACCCTCTAATAAGAAATGATATCCTGCTAATAAGAAATGATATTCCTCCAATAAGAAATGATATTCCTCCAACAATAAATGATATCCCTACAATAAGAAATGATATCCCTCTAATAAGAAATGATATCCCTCCAATAAGAAATGACATTCCTCCAAAAAGAAATGGTATATATGCTTTGATATTTGTTGTGTATATGTCAGAAAATTACTTTAAACTCTAGTTATTCGAATTAATGTATAAACTATTTTGCATAAGATAAATTCGCACCCTGATCTCTAATCGTTCTTCTTAAATCTATTTAATTGAAATGTTTTGTTATTATTATGAAAATTAGGTGGAAAACATATTCAAAACAGCCAAGAGCTATTTTCCACCTAATTGCTTTTTATACTTGTACTGTTAATTTAATCATCAATTTGTAATTGTAAACTCGTTCTCTATACAGATACATGTATTTTAGCAATAAACTTTATCTTATCTTATCTTATCCCTCCAATAAGAAATGATATCCCTCCAATAAGAAATGATATCCCTCTAATAAGAAATGATATCCCTCTAATAAGAAATGGTATCCCTCCAATAAGAAATGATATCCCTCTAATAAGAAATGATATTCCTCCAATAAGAAATGATATCCCTCCAATAAAAAATGATATTCCTCCAACAATAAATGATATCCCTCCAATAAGAAATGATATCCCTCCAATAAGAAATGATATTCCTCCAACAATAAATGATATCCCTCCAATAAGAAATGATATCCCTCTAATAAGAAATGATATCCCTCTAATAAAAAATGATATTCCTCCAATAAGAAATGATATCCCTCCAATAAGAAATGATATCCCTCCAATAAGAAATGATATTCCTCTAATAAGAAATGATATCCCTCTAATAAGAAATGATATTCCTCCAACAATAAATGATATCTCTCCAATAAGAAATGATATCCCTCTAATAAGAAATGATATTCCTCCAATAAGAAATGATATCCCTCCAATAAGAAATGATATCCCTCTAATAAGAAATTTCCAATAAGAAATGATATTTCTCCAATAAAAAATTGTATCCCTACAATAAGAAATGATATTCCTCCAATAAGAAATGGTATCCCTCCAATAAGAAATGACATTCCTCCAATAAGAAATGGTATCCCTCCAATAAGAAATGATATTCCTCTAATAAGAAATGATATCCCTCCAATAAGAAATGATATTCCTCCAACAATAAATGGTATCCCTCTAATAAGAAATGATATCCCTCCAATAAGAAATGATATCCCTCCAATAAGAAATGATATTCCTCCAGCAATAAATGATATCCCTCTAATAAGAAATGATATCCCTCCAATAAGAAATGATATCCCTCCAATAAGAAATGATATTTCTCCAAAAAGAAATGGTATCCCTCCGATAAGAAATGATATCCCTCTGAGGATAAATGTTAATTATTAATAATGTTCCCCGAACTAAAATTTTATTTGTACAGAGATCTTACCTCCTCTTTAATTTGTAGCAACGCAATGTCGTTAGCACCAAAAAATCTAAAATACATTTTAAATTATTATTAAGAATAAACACCCAGGAAACATTTAAACCAACTTTATGTGCAGATGACGAAGATGTCGGGCTTAAGAAGTTTAACATCGGCATGTCGAAATGTTTGCGAGGCAACTAATAATAAAACTAGGATTTTAAATTTTATGAAATATTTTGGTTCAGTAAAGGTAGTATCAAACGTTTCCTGTTAAGCGCACAAAAATATTGAAAACAAGTTAATCTCCTAAGAACTATTAGTATGACATCCTGAAAAAAAATTAAGAAACAATTATTCCAGAAATTAATCAAGAAAAATCGTTCCCTAGTTTTCCTTCTTTAGATCGCAACAACTTTTGTTTTATAGCTTAATGGGTCAGATTGATTTGTAGTTTCATTTAATAAGGTTTTCTCTTTAGTTCCTAAGGTTTTTAATAGATTTGCATTCTTTACAGCTTCAGGAAAGTATCCGTCAGAAATTAATGTTACGGAATATATCCGGAAAGTAATGTTACAGAATATATCCGGACATTAATGTTACTGAATATATGCGGAAATTAATGTTACAGAATATATGCGGAAATATGTTACAGAATATATCCGAAAATTAATGTTACAGAATATATCCGGACATTAATGTTACAGAATATATCCGGACATTAATGTTACAGAATATATCCGGAAATTGATGTTACAGAATATATCCGGAAATTAATGTTACAGAATATATCCGGAAATTAATGTTACAGAATATATCCGGAAATTAATGTTACAGAATATATCGGAAATTAATGTTACAGAATATATCCGGAAATTAATGCTACAGAATATATCCGGAAATTAATGTTACAGAATATTTCCGGAAAGTAATGTTACAGAATATACCCGGAAATTAATCTTACAGAATATATCCGGAAATTAATGTTACAGAATATATCCGAAAAATAATGTTACAGAATATATCCGGAAATTAATGCTACAGAATATATCCGGTAATTAATGTTACAGAATATATCCGAAAATTAATGTTACAGAATATATCCGGAAATTAATGCTACAGAATATATCCGGAAATTAATGTTACAGAATATATCCGGAAATTAATGCTACAGAATATATCCGGAAAATAATGAAAATCTCTTTAAGAAAGAAAACTCTTTTTTAGAAAAAAATTTACTTTTCTAAGGAAAATTTAGGATGAACGATAACTCTGCTCCCTTCGTAGGTTTTGGAGAGAGGACCAAAGGTCAGAGTTCTGATAATTGCTGCAAAACTAACTGAAAACAAGGTGAAGAAATATACATTATTTATTGATTGGAAAATTCAAATTGATTGATTATTAATTTATTGATTCATTGATTAATTGATTTTTTAATTGATTCAATTAAGATTCAATGATACATTGATTCATTCATTGATTGGTATCAGTGAAAACTCCGAGATTTCTAGAATTTGATCTACATTTTTAGTTATTTTTTTCCATGACTGTAAAAGTTGTACTTTATATAAACTGTTCTTTCGTGTTATATTAAATTCAAATAGTTTGCCAGGGGTGTAAAAAATTGATTCAGGTTTATTTATCAGGATTATTATTACAATTTGAATTTGTGTTTTTAGATTAGGTCTTCATTTTAAGGTCTTATCAAAGACAAGTTTAAATCTTGAATATGAAAATACACCAAAACAATAGTTGTGCTAAATTTAAAAGTGGGGGGAGGGGGAGGGGGGTAAGGGAATAAGTAAGTAAGATTTCCTCATTTCACTTTCCTCGTATTTTTGTGATGTACATAACTTCGATAGTTCCATTCGCGCTCATCCTGCAGGTGCCCTGGCCCTCAGCTGTTGCACTTAACACAACAACAACAGTTAAAGGGAATGTTTAGAAAATAAAAATTAAAGGGACAATATGTAACAACAACAAGATTTGAAATACAGTGAAACCCTTAATAACAAATACATCGGAAGAATTTATCAAATGTCGTCTTGACAATTTTTAAATGAGTTTTATAGTATATTACGTACATAATACGTAAATTTCAGTATTTGTGAAAATAAATAACTAGCCATGAATATGCGGGAACAGTTTTAAAGAGTTCCATATAACCATTTAATTAATAAAACTAAATATCTGCAACATTCCATTATCAGAAAGTGAAGAATACGACATTTGATGAATTCTTTCGATGTATTCGTTATTAAGGGTTTCACAGTATGAAAGTCAAAGGTCTGTCGACTGTCACAGCAACAACAGATAAAGGGAGAGTTTAAAAAAATTAAGTTAATGAGACAGTCTACTATAAAAGACGAAACAAAATATGTAACAACAACAACATCTTCAGGAAGGATAAAAATATTTAAGTTAACTGTCATAGAAGCGACAACTAAAGAAATAAAAGATAAAAAATGTTACAACACTAACAATATCTATAAAAGGAGGGTTTGAAATATGAAAGTTAAAGCTCTGTCACAACAAAAACAGTTAAAGCGAGAGTTTTAAAAAACAATAAAAGACATTAAAAATTATGTTACAACAATCAACATTTAAAGAGACCGATCTCATAAGAGATAAATAAAAATATTGAAAGCAAAGGTTAAAGATAAGCAAATATTTTAAGATTAAAGGATTTAATCTCTTTCTCACAGTGTTGTTTCTTGTTTGTGCAATAAACTGAACTGTGTAATCAAGGACGACATTCAATACACTCATGGACTCTTACTTTGGTAGTGGTTTGCAGAAGCAATGCGCCGCGGTGATTATAAATCTACGATTTATCAAGGATCCTCCACATGTTCCAACATCCCATGCATCTAACAAAAAATATAAATTATTTTTATGAATTATTTTACTGAAAGTAAATGCGGATGTACAGTGTGTCCCAAAAACATGGGAATTCAGTGAGGAATTAGATATCGTCTTTGTTATGAATTAGCAGTGTAATACCTAATTACAGGGACACCTTGTAATTACAGAACACCCTGTAATTTTAATCCTCACTGCAGATATCTAGTCTTCGAAATACCAATGTCGAACATCATATAGTTGGTTTAAATACCATATAGTTGGTTTAAATACCATATAGTTGGTTTGAATACCATATAGTTGGTTTAAATACCATATAGTTGGTTTAAATACCATATAGTTGGTTTAAATACCATATAGTTGGTTTAAATACCATATAGTTGGTTTAAATACCATATAGTTGGTTTAAATACCATATAGTTGGTTTAAATGTTTCCTAGGCTCAATTAAAAAAAAAACACATCCTTAACACAAGGTAAATTCTAATTATGAGAAACTTTTTTTGAAATCTGATCAAATCTAGTAAAAGTTAAAATTCGCCATTCTTCAGAATTTTCTCTTCAGACATTATCAAACAACAATTTTTTTTTATTTCCTGATGGATTTCCAAATTTTTCTTTTTTTTCTTTAGCGGAATTTTTCGTTAATTAGTTCTAAATAATAGACAAAAAAGTGAGACGACTCTATCTCAAATTTGATTGTAAATAGTCCAATAAACATGGACCACAACAATTGTGCAGTGTTAACAGACCGATTTTAATTAAAATGTTTTTTTTTCAACTGATCAAACCTATTGCTTGATGGCAACATGAAACACACGTAATACTGTTTAAATCCCGTACTCCTGTTCGATAGTTTATTGGGTCCTATACTGTATATAATTAGTTTTTATAACAGTGTCGTAAAGATGAAATTATGATGCTGATTTTTGTTATAGCCCTAATTTAACAGTGATAACCAGAAAATCTGAAATAGGAAGACGACTTTTAGACACAAGTTATGACTTTAAGTAGTCCAATCAGCATGTGACACTTAACATTATTTAATACATATTAACATATAACCATTTGCAACAACATAAAATACTCATGAACAATTTTATAAGGTCGTCTTCCTTCTTCAAAGTTTGCTGCAGTTGGTATAATTTTGCAAAGAGCATTTTTTGGGTTAAAATAATCAAAATTGAAACAGAAAAAATTAAGAAAAATTTTAATTGTGGTTGCAGAGCACCTGAAATTTCTATATGAGAGAACCAGGGTTTAGAGGAGTCCTCAGTAACATCCCTCCCTCCAACTAATCTAGAAAATTAAATCTAAATTTTTTTTTAATTTTAAGTTGTTTTTTCAATTTTGGTTTTACCTCTGTCCCTTCTCATCCAGTTTTGAAGTATCAATGTCCTCATACTCATAATCATCCTCACTTAAATATTATAAGAATTTAGTGAACCATCCCAACTTTGTATTTTAGTAAACTATCCATTTATTATACATTCTAGTGAACTATCTTTTTAATCCATTCTCCCATTCTAGTGAACAATGCCATTAAACTATGTTCATGAAATTTTCTTTTAACTTGATTTCTTAAACTTTCCCTTTAACCCTGACCTGTAATCGTTTCCTGACTCCTCATATTCATCCTCCTCCTCTTTTTTAATTTTTCCACAAGGATTACACACCACAGGGGCCCTTTACAATAATGATGAAAATTATGAAAATTATGAAAATTATGAAAATTATGAAAATTATGAAAATTATATATTTTAAAATATTTTTTTTAATACTTTGGTTCTGCATATCTCTTGTTTCTCAACGTTCTCTGAACTGATTCAGAAAATAAAAAAGGGTCTTTGTTACATGTTGAAACTATGTTGGGTGTGAAAAAGACAGGACACATTTAACAAATCCCAAGATTACGGGAATATGAAGTTGGATACAACTTCATATTCCCTGAATATGTTACAGCATATTCCCTGTTACAACATACTTTAACATTTACAAATTAACACTCCTTAAATTGTCAAACTGAAGTTCTAAAATTTTAAAATAAAAAAAAATTCCGAATTTTTTTTTTTTATATTTCTGAAGTCCCTGCAGATCCAAGTCCAAAATCATCTGAAGTAGATCTCAAGCTGAATAGTACACCCCACAATATTATTATATACTAAAGGGAGATTCTGTCGGCTTCAAAGTTTTTGTAAAAAAGAGTTGGTTAATGAATGCAAAGTACACAAAGGGTAATTTTTCAACAATCAAAAAAAATTTAACTCTTTTAAAAAAACTTATTTGTTTATAAAGTAGAAATTATCATTCAACCTTTATTGTATATATTTATTACTTTTAGACACACTGTAGAAAATATATTTAAAAAATACTTTAATAGGAATCTAAAATGTTTGTGACTATTCCTTTGAGTTGTCTGAATGCTTATAACTAAACATCCTATGAGTGTTTGCCACATCTGAAATATAATATTCGTATCTTTTTAAATTAAATTTTTACATTTTTAAAAACAAGGTTATTCAGGGGGTCACTAAATATATTAGTTGATGCCATGAGCCTCAAATATTTACAATTGCATTTTCGCAAAAAAATCAAAAGATCAAATGCCAAATGAAATGATCAAAAAATTGTTCAAAAAATATCATTTAAACAGATACTTTTAGAAGTTTAGGGTATACTTAAAAATTTTTAATGATAAAACGTTTTCAAAACAATTCATCTACGAATATTTGATCTTATTTAAATTCAAATTGTTTTCCTCTTCAAACTGATTTCAGTGTCTTAGTTTTAGGTCGTTTTTTAACTTATGAAATTTTGGAAATCTTTTAATTTATATTTTTTATATTTTTTATCTACAGGGGGGGGTCAAATTGCCCCCCCCCCCCCAGCGGGAATAGGGTTAATGAATTTTTTATAAAAATTTGGTAATTAATAGAAAAAAACATTTTCTCAACAATTGTTAATTTTAAAAAAAATTAAAAAATTTACTTTCGCTGATTTTTTTTTAACATTCCAAAATCTTTTTTTATATCTTATCATCAAATTTTATTTTTTTAGTGACTAAAATCCGAACTAAAATTTTTCTAAAACATCGATAATCCCGTTTTTTTACTCACCCTGTATGTGTCAGTAATTTTAATAAAAATAAAACAGTGGCCTAGATTTTTAGAAACCCATATTACTGAGGGATGCATATCTTATATATTTTTTATAATTTATAAAAACAATTTTTTTTGTCACACCAAACACGGTGGTTGATTGCACCATTAGATCGTAAATTTTAGTCAACAGTTGTAATGTCTTAAAACACGAATATTTTGTTAGAAAATAATAACGCAATGATAGGATTGGTTCGGAGATATCCGAACCAGGGTTTCCGCGAAATGACCATATTTTTTGCACAAAATTTGCTTAATTTTTGCGCAAATATTTTTTTGCGAACTTTTTCGCATGAAGCACAAAAAGTTTTGCGCGTTTTTGCGCATTTTTTTAGCGGAATTTACGCAAAACCAAAAGTATTGTTATTCTGCTCAATTAGTTACTTTTAGTTACAAATCTTCAAATTATTTGTTATATTTGTTACGCAAAATTGCACAAAACAGAATAAGGCAAAAGCGGAAAAGCGCAATTTTGCGCGAAATTAAGTTTGCGAATGATTGCACAAAAAGCTATTTTTCCGCGCAAAAATGTAACGCACCGAAAGCAAAAATTTGCGCATTCTTTCGCAAATTTACTCAAAAGTTTTGCGAATGGAAACCCTAACCATGCTAGACATCCTTGGCTTTGAAGTGTCGCAACACCTTGGCTTTGGGTTGTACTTCACCAACTCACGTGTACTTTTTGTTAGCCCTAGACATATACATTTTATATATGCATTGCGCTTGTTTCTAGCTGAAGTTTAAAAGGAGTAATTGGTAAAATACTGCTCGATATTTCCGTTAACGTCAACATTAACATTAATATTAACATTAACATTAACATTAATTTTGACATTAACATTAACATTAATTTTGACATTAACATTAACATTAAAATTAACATTAACATTAACATTAAAATTAACATTAACATTAACATTAACAATAACATTAACATTAACATTAACATTAACATTAACATTAACATTAACATTAACATTAACATTAACATTAACATTAACATTAACATTAACATTAACATTAACATTAACATTAACATTAACATTAACATTAACATTAAAATTAACATTAACATTAACATTAACAATAAAATTAACATTAACATTAACATTAACATTAACATTAACATTAACATTAACATTAACATTAACATTAACATTAACATTAACATCAACATTAACATTAGCATTAACAATAACATTAACATTAACATTAACATTAATATTAACATTGACATTAACATTAACATTAACATTGCCATTAACATTAACATTAACATTAATTTTTTCACTATAATTAAGAAAAAATATTAAAGTTCTATAATCTCGAAATTATTTGCGGCATTCTATACCAAGAATATCTGAAAATGCGCGTAAAAAAGGTGAACATTTTTAAGAACATTAACTCGAAAACTTTAATTCAATGAAAACTATTTTTTTTCAATTTATTAAAATTCAATATTTCATTTATGCCCTAACGTGGCCCGATTCTTAAAAAAATGTTTTATCTTGGAGGACTAGACACTTTTGGAAAATAATATTGGAAAGACGAGGATTTCGAGGTGGCTCGGACGAGAAAATGAGGAGAATGTAGCTCGGACTAAAAATTGTCGTGTCTCCTCCCCTCCTCCAACAATGCATCACTTTCACAAAAAAAATCTTATTTTCAAGTTGAAAAGAATGCGAATTATGTTGTCGGTGTAAACTTGAAACTACAAGAGTTAAGTAAATTGGTTTGAAATCTGATCCGTATCCAATTATCTAACATTTAACTTTTAATTTTTACAAAACTTTTAAAAGCAAACATTACAAGCACCGAGGCATACAAAGTGTTTCATGAAAGAGACTGTAGTCCAAATTTTAAGTGACCCGTAACTTAAGTACTCAACTTAAATACTCAACTTAAATACTCAACTTAAATACTCAACTTAAATACTCAACTTAAATACTCAACTTAAATAGATATATAGAAAATAAGAAAGATAGATAGAAAGATAGATAGATAGATAGATAGATAGATAGATAGATAAATGTTTATGGTTTAATATTCTTGAAGGGGAGTCCAGCTTGAAATCCTGGAAAATTTATCACAGGATTTTCAGCTCAGGGATTCTCACTTAGATCCAGACTGCTCGTAAAAGTTGCATCTATTGGGACGACTTTTAAGTGTCGCAACACCTTAGCTTTTGATTTTACCTCATTTGAAGATAATACATTTATATTTTATAACCATAAAGCACTGGTTTTTAGCTTTAGTTTTTATGGAGTAATTAAAAATATTCTCATAAATTTTTATGTTAAAGCTTGGATTATTGTGTCCTTGCACACAGATTTAGGAACAGCGGGGAATATAAATTATTGTGATTAAGTTTTTATAATTTTTCATAGATGAAGAATATTACAGATAATTTTAAATAAAGGAACAAGCATTTATCCTCAAAGTTTAAAACATTGCAAATCGAGATAAAGGGATTAAAGTTAACAATACATACGTTCAGATTTCTGAATACTTTTACAGGTCCCCCAATGACGTCTCATCCAATGTGGGTAACCCTGTACAAGTCTATCTAGCTCAATTTTATCTTAGACCTGCAGACGGCAAATTGAATTTATTGCAATTCAAAATATTGAAAAAGTATAAAAATCTACTTAATGGTTTAAAACTTTCAAGTGATGTAGAATACTGGGCAAATTTTAAGAATCGATCTAGGTCACGTTTTCTCTTCAAGAACGTTTTCAAACGGCACGTTTTATGGGGCCATTCAGGCACGGTTTTCATGGGGCATTTTTCCCATATTGAAAATTCCTAGGACACTTTTATTTAGAGGAAAATGAATCTCAAGCCTTTTATCTTTTTATCGTTATAAACATCTTGAGCGAAGTACAATTCGAACCCAAAAATGCCAATTTCATTTAAGATTTAACATGTTTAAATTTACGATTTAAACAACAGTAATTATGTAAAAAATACTTGAACCCCATGAGAGATTGATCATTATAACCAAGGATGTAATGCAAGGAAAGTTATTTCAGAAGTGTACACATCTTTTGTACTGCAGTGTACTGTCTCTGGGCGGTAATGTAAAC